GCACGATTCAGGATCGTCAAGACGCAGCAGTCAGTTTGATTCGTGGCGTTAGAATCCCGAAAACAATATTTTGGCACGCTTCCATATCTTCAAACGATTCTTCAAACGAGGCAGTTCCCTCTATGGAAATTAACCGTTGTGGGGGGCCTATGTAGAGGGAGTTCGGACGGAGGGCTACTACCAACATCTTTGTTGACTTGGTTGTGCACCGGTCCTCCTCCTTTTCCTCCTCCTCCTCCTCCTGCTCCTCCTCCTGTTCCTCTTCCTCCTCCTTTCCCTCCTCCTCCTCCTCCTCCTCCTCTTCCTCCTCCTCCTCCTCCTCCTCCTCTCCTCCTCCTCCACCTCCTCCTCCGTTTCCCTCCTGCCCTCCTCCTCCTCCTGCTCCTATTCCCCCTCCTCCTCCTCCTCCTCGTCCCCCCCTCCTCCTCCTCCCTCCTCCTCCTCCTCCTCCTCCTCCTCCTCCTCCTCCTCCTCCTCCTCCTCCTCCTCTTCCTCTTCCGTTTCGTCCTCCTCCTCCTCCTCCTCCACCTCCTACGACTACCACTATTATTCCTCCTCCTCCTCCTCCTCCTCCTCCTCCTACACTTTTTCGTCCTGATGAGGACGCCGCTTTGCCTCTTCCACCCACTGGAAGAGGGCAGGGCGGTTTGGAGCGTTTTTGCAACAAGGGCGGCACCAGCTGGCACCGAAGGGGAGGAGGGCGGAAAGACTGATGGGGGGGAAGCAGGAGGGAGGCAGGAGAGAGGGTGGCAGGAGGGAAAAGGAAAAAGGGGGAAGGGCGTTTTCTTGGGGGGCGGGTAATGTCCGCTGATTCATACATGGCGACTTCCAGAATCTGCGCCCAAACCTTCAGGCTGGGCCCCCTGACTCACACAGAACAAAAAGAAAAAACGGTCAGATCTGGAGGCAGCCAGCGGCAGTGTCTGTGCCCCGGTGCTCCCCGGACAACAGAGAAACGACGTCAGGTGCTGCTGCTGCTGCTGGGGTAGGTGGACCACGCAGGAAAACGCGGGGGGATTGATGGAGGAGAGGGGGACGACGCGGCGGGCGGCAGCTGCCGCGCCACAGGGCCCATCGGGATCGATGCGCCGCGCCCGCGGAACGGGAGGGGGAGGAGGAGGAGGGAGGGAGGAGGAGGAGGAGGAGGAGGAGGAGGAGGAGGGAGCAGCAAGGGCAGCAAGAAGCAAGCGCCAAAGGAAAGCAGGGGGCGGGGATGCGGGCGGGCACGGCCGCGAGGTGTGAGCCGCGGGGCATCACAATTCGGCGATCGTGCCAGAGGGGCGGGCGGAAGATGGAAAGGGGGGCGGCAGAACTGCGGGCGCGCGGGAGAAAGTGCCGAGCTGGTGCGCTCTGTCCAGTCGAGCCGACATGCTTGCACCTGCCTGGCGGCGGGCGCCGTTCCTCCTTGCCGATGGCCGCGGCCAGCAGCCTGCACCGCAACTACACATCAGAGCAGCCACGCCTCCACGATTTCTGAGTCGCGAGAGTGCGGAGGTCCAGGGGTGTGGCTGGCCGGAGCAGGTGTAGACCAGCGGCTGGTCAGGAGTCTTGTGCCGCGCGAGAGCATCGGCGTGTGCCGAGTTGTATCGGCCTTATTCCAGCATATGGCGGCCGCGCAGTCTCGGCGGGCCTCCACAGCGTAGGGCGAGGCGAGGCCCAGGTCGAAGGCAAGAAGGCTGTTTCCGAAGGCGCCAATTAGCACGCTGGCTGGTCGGAGGCGAGTACCTGGCACCAGGCCTGGCGCCTCGAGCTCTGCGCGGGGGTCGCGGGGGGAGAAGGGCGGGGAGGCGGGGGGGCATGGGGGGGAGGAACAGGAGGGTGATGAGCAGCAGGATGAGAGCCCAGACTTACGACATTCTGATTGTTCCAATGCGGAAACCCTGGAAAACCCGACCCCTTGCCCAGGACCCGGGACCGGGCTTTTCACAACCATCCTGTGGTGTTGGGTCGTCGTTTCGAAGAAACATCGCCCCGCGTCTCCTTCCCGCTGCCCATCCCTCCTCCCCCTCCCCCCTCCTCCCTCCTCCATGCGTTTCACCCACCCAGTACAACGCTTCGTGGCCCCATAGGGAGCTCCACACAAGGCACCAGTGGGGGTGGCCACATGCGTCCGCCACACCCAGCGCAGCGCTTCGTGGCCTCATACGGAGCTCCACAGGAAGACTCCTGTGGGGGTGGCCACATGCGTCCGCCACACCCAGTACAGCGCCTCGTAGCCCCATAGGGAGCTCCACGTAGGGCCCCACCTGGGGTGGCCACGTGCGTCCCGCCACACCCAGCGCAGCGCTTCATGGCCTCATAGGGAGCTCCACGTAAGGCCCCAGTGGGGTGGCCACATGCGTCCGCCACACCCAGTACAGCGCTTCGTGGCCCCATAGGGAGCTCCACCCAAGGCCCTACTGGGGGTGGCCACATGCGTCCGCCACACCCAGCACAGCGCTTCGTAGCCCCATAGAAAGCTCATCGGAAGGCCCCAGTGGGGGTGGTCACATGCGTCCGCCACACCCAGTACAGCGCTTCGTGGTCCCATAGGGATTTCCACGTAAGGCCCCACCTGGGGTGGTCACGTGCGTCTGCCACACCCAGTACAGCGCTTCGTGGCCTCATACGGAACTCCACAAAAAGACTCCAGTGGGGGTGGCCACGTGCGTCCGCCACACCCAGTACACCGCCTCGTGGCCCCATAGGGAGCTCCACGTCAGGCCCCAGTGGGGGTGGCCACATGCGTCCGCCACACCCAGTACACCGTTTCGCGGCCCCATAGAGAGTTCCGCAGAAAGACCCCAGTGGCATCGCCCGCATGCGTCGTCCACCACCCAGTACTGCATTTCGCGGCCCCATTGATTGGGAGCTCCACTACGCCCCAGCGGCACCGCCCGCATGCGTCCACCCACCCGGTGCAGCGTTTCGTGGCCCCGTAGGGAGCTCCAGTGGCCAACGGAGGCCCCAGTGGCAACGCCCGCATGCTTCCCCCCCTCCCGTGGCACCATAAGGAGCTCCACCGAAGGTCCCAGTGGCACCGCCCGCATGCGTCGGCGTTTCGTGGCCCCGTAGGGAGCTCCACAACAGACCCCAGCGGCACCGCCCACATGCGCTTCCCCCAACCAATACAACGTTTCGTGGCCTCATCGGGAGCTCCAGCGACGGGCACCGCCCGCATGCGTCAGCCACACCCAGGACAGCGGTTCGTAGCCCATAGGGAGCCCCACCGAAGGACCCAGTGGCACCGCCCGCATGCGTCTCCCCCACCCATAACGACGTGTCCCTCACGCGCTCCGTGACCCCACAGGGAATTCCACCGAAACCGGCACCTGGCCATCGCTCGGACGTCCACTTCCTGTGCTTTTTGTCTGTTTCGTGCGTGGCTTTTTCGCCAAATGATCAAGGATGCTCCTCGATGGCCCTCGCTGAAGAAAATGCACACGTCCGAGCGATGCCAGGACGAGGCCACGACCCCGCGCAAGGATTGCGCCACGCTCGCGACCCCGAAGCGACGCTCCCTCGCAAGCCGCGCCACACGCTCGCGCCCCCGAGGCCACGAGCTCCGACAAGAGGCCACGAGCTCCGACAAGAGGCCCTCGCCGAGGAACAAACGCACACGTCCGCGCGATGCCAAGGCGCCCACAACGCGCTGCTCACAACGGCTTACGGTTGGGCCCTTCGCCCGGGAGAATCCTCCCGAGCCATTTTGCTCGACGGCCCCGAGATGGCCGGCGAGTGGCCCCCATGGGGCCGAACACGACCAAACACCTCCCGCCGCGATGGTTTTAACGACGCGACCATGCCTGGAGGGTACTCCAGATTTCGTAATAAAAGGGAGGGGGTCTGGACCCTCCAAGACAAGCCATTTCAGACCTCCCCCGTGGGAGAACCCTCCAAAACATCGTCCCCAGACCCCCCCAGGCCCTCCAAGATAGCCTGGAAGAGACCCCCCCCGAAATGAGACCCCCGTAATAAAAGGGAGTTAGATGCTCATTCTGGGGACCTTCCTGCAGCCACTCGCTCCACTCGTGCGTCGAGGCTGCGTCAAACCTGCGTCGAACCTGCGTCGAACCTGAGTCGAACCTGAGTCGAACCTGAGTCGAACTTGAGTCGAACTTGAGTCGAACCTGCGTCGAACAGATCCACTAGGTGGCCCCCAGGAAGGTCCCCAAAACGAGCATCGAACTGGAGGGTAGGAGAAGATGGAGTCGAGGGGCAAATCGGAGGGGCGTCTCCACGAAAAAGGCCCCAGCTCGACCCCGCGCGGCACGATGTCTCGCTCCCCTGCGGCGACAGACCTCCGACGATGCGGGATTCGTTCAAGGCTGGCGACTTGTTCCTCATTTTTGGCCTCTGGCTTGCCCCAGGCGTCGCATAATGGGGAGCGCGGGAAATGGGGGGGGGCAGAACGGTGCACGTGTCGGGCTTCTCGTGATTAGCCTCTGGGGCCCGATGTCTCGGACCCTGAGGCCCTGGGCGTCGCCGAATGGCGGGGCGATAAATTGCGGGGGGGGGGGGAGGAAGGTGCACCCGTCGGGCGCCAGCGGGCCCCGTGGGGCCCCGAGGGGGTCCCTCTAGGGGCCCTAAGAGGCCTCGCGCTGGCAGCCCTCGCTGCCCCCCAGTTGTCGCCGCCCCCTCACGCGACGCCCAACCTTGACTACCCACCAGACCACCCCAACCCAACCCGAAGACCCGAACTTCGGGTTGGGGGGGCGGTACGGGCTTCATACGTGTTTTTCCAGTGCTCCCCTATCCCCCCCCCCACTGGAAATGGGGGTCAGTTTGAGGCCTTCGGGTTGGGTTGGGGTGGTTTGGTGGGTGGTGAAAACTGGGCGAAGGATTGCAAAAAAAACCTTCGTTTTATTGCAATCCTTCGGTTGTTTTGCAATCCTTCGGTTTTATTGCAAAAAAACTGGGGTTTGTTTGCAATCCTTTTTGCAGTCCTTCGTTTTATTGCAATCCTTCGGTCAAACAGGACCTGGGGCGAGAAGAGATAGCCCACTGCAACTGGTAGGCACCGCGGGAGCCGCGCACTGCCGCCAAAAGCATTGTCTCGTCGGAGGTCTGGGCCTCCGCGCCCCGGCCCCCGCCGCCCGGCCTTCAGCGACCCCGGGAACGCCGACAGGGCCAGGTCGGCCTCCGCGACGACGGGGGGCCCAAAGAGAGGGCCCCCGCCCCGCCCTCTCCCGGCCCTGGCCACTCGTCGTCCGCCTCCTCCGCCTCCTCCTCCTCCTCCTCCTCCTCCCTCCTCCTCCTCCTCCTCCTCCTTCTGCTCCTCCTCCTCCTCCTCCTCCTCCTCCTCCTCCTCCTTTCCCTCCTCTGGAGGAGGAGGAGGAAAAGGAGGAGGAGGAGGAGGTGGAGGAGGGGAATGAGGAGGAGGAGGAGGAGGAGGAGGAGGACGATGACGAGGAGGGGAAGGAGGAGGCGGAGGTCTATCATCAACAACCACGCTTCAACCCATTACCCTACATTGGAAGTGACCTGAAGGCCGACCGCGAGCCGCCCTGGAGCCGCCCAGGCACCGCCTCTGCCGCCCCCCTACCCACCCCACTCGCTTCTCCTACCCACCCCACTCGCTTCTCCTCCTCTCCGAAGACTTACGAGCGGTTTGAGCCCTCTGGGGGGCCTCAGGAAGCCCTCAGCGCTCCCTCATACCCCTGACCTTCCTCCACCTTCCACTCCACTCCCATCCCCGTGCTTCTGCACTCCAGGGGAGTGGACGGGGCGTGCATCCTTTCTGTTTTGGGCCCCCCAGATGAACTGGTCCAAGATCATGGCCTGCGTGGGCTCGTCCGGGTCCAGCCTCGAGGCCGTGCGTGCCAACAATACACTGGCATCCCACGTCCACATCGCCCTCGATCCTCGCAATCCTACGATCTGATTATTGCTCCACCTCTTCGACGTCCTCCTCTCCGCTTGTTCGGCCTCCTTGCCGTCTTCCCCTAGACTGCTCGACATCGTCGTCCTTCTCGCAATCACGATAATCCGCCGGCCCCCTTGCGGGGCCATCAGGCTGCGAGGCTTAGGTTTGCTGCTCCCTGCACCAGTTCCAGTTTCCAGTTTCCAATATTACGATATTGCAATATTGTTTGTTGCTTCTCACTGTACAGTGTTATTGTCCGCGCGAGGGCGGGGAGCCGAAAAGGACCCTGGCGGGCGTCTCCGAACCGCATGCTCAAAAATTTCTGGGGGGGCGTGGGACACGCAAAAATACTTGAGATTTGCGCTCCCGACCCAAGAATCCATTACAAATGACGCTGTCTTCGGGCCCCCGAGGTCACGATGCCTCGTAAATGACGCTGCATTCGCATCCCCGAAGCCACGATCCCTCGTAAAATAAGCCATATTCGCGCTCCTCAAGCACCGATCCCCCGCCAAATCCGCCGATCCGGCGTGTAAGTTTCTGAGAGCGTGGACTTGAGCTCGCTCAAGCTTCGCTCTGCAGGGGGCGGGGGGGGCGTACGTCATTTCCGACGCCATTGAAGGTGTTTGTCGGCACCCGGGGATATTTCCGACGTCATCTACGACGTTTTTTCGGTACCCCAGGCCCCTTTCGGCGGTGGACAAACCTTCCTTTAGTAAACCTTCCCTTAGTGAAAAGCGCCTGGGGCCGAAACCGACGGACCTGGACCCGCAAAAATGACGGCCGCGACGCCCCCTCGCGAACCGAAAACGGCCAATTCCTTAATCGACGTGTCAGGGTAGGAGGTCTGTCCAACCCCGACCCTTCTTCCCCTCGCTCTCACCCCCCCCGGATCGGCGGCACTGGCCAGAGGCCAGCCCAATTCGCTACATTGTCGCCTCTGGGGCCACGACCCCCTATCAATTCCTCCACGGTCGCGCCCCCGCGTCTACGACCCTTTCCAAATATTACACCGCGCTCGCGCCCCCGAGGCCACGACCTCCCGACAATTGCACCACCTTCGCGCCCCCGACTGGCCATCGCTCGGACGTCCACTCCCTGTGTTTTTTTCGGTTTCGTGCGTGGATTGTTCGCCAAATGATCAAGGATGCTCCTCGATGGCCCTCGCTGAAGAAAATGCACACGTCCGAGCGCTGCCAGGACGAGGCCACGACCCCGCGCAAGGATTGCGCCACGCTCGCGACCCCGAAGCGACGCTCCCTCGCAAGCCGCGCCACACGCTCGCGCCCCCGAGGCCACGAGCTCCGACAAGAGGCCCCGAGAGGCCCCCAGGAGGCGCCCAAACCGCCTCCAAGAGGCCCCCGAGAGGCTCCCCACGACACCCCAACACATACATATACGAGAGGCCTCAGACCCACAACGCAGGCACGGTGGCGGGATGGGCCGAAGGCCACTAGGATCCGCCGCCCCCTGTGGTCTTGCCACAGGGGTGCACGGCGTGCTGGATGTTTCAGGTTTTGGTTTTGGCTCTTTTTCTAAAAGAACTCCCCAGTGGGCTTCGGCCCGTCCCGCCGGCCACCCGCAAGTTTCCGAAAATCCATCTGTCAATGCCTTTGTTGCCCCAACTTGGCCCAAGATGGCCTCCAAGACGGCCAAGATGGCCAAAGATGGCCTCCAAGATGCTTCCAAGACGGCCAAGATGGAAAGAGCGCCAGTGGATCACCTGGAAGACACAAAAGGGGGGGGGTGCTCCAGGGACCCCCCCCCCCCTCCCCCCCTTAAGGGGTCGAGGGGTCCGAGACCCCCCCCCCCCCCCTCCCCCCCTTTAAGGGGGGGGGGGGGGGTTTCGAACCCCCCCCCCCCCCTTTGAAAGGGGGGGGGGTTCGGAACCCCTCCCCCCCCCCCCCTTGAAGGGGGGGGGGGGTTCGGAACCCCCCCCACCCCCCTCCCCCCCTTTCCGCAGGGGTCCGGGGCGAGCGAGCCGAGCGCGCGGACACCCACCCGCAAAGCTTTCAGAGTCCTGCCCCCGACGGCCCCTACGTCCAACAGTCCGCGCGCTCGGCTCGCTCGCACCGGACCCCCTGCGGAAAGGGGGGGAGGGGGGGGGGGGTTCCACCCCCCCCCCCCCCCCCCTTCAAGGGGGGTGGGGGGAGGGGTTCCGAACCCCCCCTGCCCCCCTTTCAAAGGGGGGGGGGAAATAGCGAAAAAGAAAAAGAAAGAAAAAAAAGGGGTTTCGGGCCCCGCCCGCACACTCGCAAGCTTTCAGAGTCCCTCCTCCCGCGCCCCTACGTCCAACAGTCCTGCGCGCGAGGGCGAGCGGGTTTAGGGTTTAGGGTTTAGGGTTTAGGGTTTAGGGTTTAGGGTTTAGGGTTTATGGGTTTAGGGTTTAGGGTTTAGGGTTTAGGGTTTAGGGTTTAGGGTTTAGGGTTTAGGGTTTAGGGTTTAGGGTTTAGGGTTTAGGGTTTAGGGTTTAGGGCTTCTCGGGCGCGCAGCGGCCGACAGTCCAGGCAATGCTGCCCCCCCTTCGGCAAGCTTGATTGGGGGGCGGTTAGCCGACCCGAGCAAGCTTGGCGAAGGGAGCAGGAGTTGCAACATCTTCCCACCCCCGGCCGCATGGCCGGCGACCTCCCAAACTAAAGCCTTTTAGGGTTTAGGGCCGCTGGCCCCTAAATTCCCAAATGGCTCCAAGCGCTCCCAGGCGCTCCCAGGCGCTCCAAGGCGCTCCCATGCGCTCGCAAGCGCCCCCAGGCGTTCCCAGGCGCTCCCAGGCGCTCCCAGGCGCTCTCAGGCGCTCCCAGGCGCGCCCAGGCGCTCCTCGGCACGCCCCCAGGCGCTCCCAGGCGCTCCAAGGCGCTCCCATGCGCTCCCCGGCGCTCCCAAGCGCTCCCCGGCGCTCCCAGGGCTTCCCGGCGCTCCCAGGCGCTGCCGCGCTCCCAAGCGCTCCAAGCGTTCCCAGGTGCACCCAGGCGCCCCTCCCAGGCGCTCCCCGGCGCTCCCAGGCGCTCCCCGGCGCTCCCTCCCAGGCGCTCCCAGGCGCTTCCCAAGCGCTCCCAGGCGCTCCCAGGCGCTCCCAGGCGCTCCCAAGCGCTCCCAAGCGCTTCCCAGCGTTCCCAAGTGCGCCCAGAAGCGCTTAGAGCGCCCCACACGTGTTTTTACGTGTCGGAGACATGTAGAGCACCATCCGATGACGAAAGTCGCCGGGTTTAGGGTGTTGTATTCTTCGAGGATCAAGCATGGTTTATCTTTGCATCGTAGATCCCCAAGCGTGGGGCTAGGTAGCCCTAGGCTACCAGGACGACCCAGTCGGGCAACCAGCTGAAGCATCTCAGAGAAGCCCTGTCTCTCGTAGACGGCGACGGTGATGCGCGGTGGGTGGGCAGATGCACAACGAGGTGCTTGGGAATTTAGGGTTTAGGGTGTAGGGTTTAGGGTTTAGGGTTTAGGGTTTAGGGTTTAGGGCCTGCATTAGCGCAAGCGCGCGCTGGCTGCGATCCCCCCCACATCAAGGTTGTTGGGGGGGATCGCTGCCCAAGCCGCGCGCGCCACGGTTAGTCGCACTCCCGCCCCAGACCACCCAGAGTGAAGCCTTTTAGGGTTTAGGGTTTCTCCCCCCAACCCCCCTATCACGGGGGGCTGTCGAAGTGGCGCGCGCAGGCGATCGCCGACGCGGCCGTGGCACTGCGCCTCCATGTGAGCACGCGCGCAGGGCGCGTGGCGTAGGCGGCGCTTCGAAGAGGCAGCCGTTGGCGATGGCGGCGATTAGCTTCGCCGTTGGGCTGCCGCTGGCGCAGCATGCCCATGTGTTGTCGCTTTTGCTGTCGGCACTGGGTTGCGACACTGGGCTGCGAATGCTGGGAAGCGCGCGCGCGGCCGCGGCCGTGGCAATGCGCGCCCATGCGAACACGCGCGCAGGGTGCATGGCGCTGGCGCGCCAGCTCGCCTCGTCGATGAGGCAGCCGTTTGCGCCTTCGGCAGGGGGCTTCGCCGTTGGGCTGCCGCTGGCGCAGCAGATATACAGGGGTTTGGCATTTGCCTTCGGCGTAGGAAAGCAGCACTGCGAGGGCGCTGCCGTGGCAATCCCATGGGTTCCCGTGGGCCTCGAGCGAGTGGCCGCGCCGTTGGGCTCCTCGCTGACGGCGACGCGCACGGCAGTTGCATTCGCCCGCGGCTTTGGGTTTCGCCTTTGAGGCCGCCCCCGCTGAAGCGATTGCAGTCATCGACGCAGACGCTGTCGGCGCGAGCTTCGGAAGGCGGGAGGAGGAGCGCGAGGGGGTGGGTCTGGCACCCCCTCGCTACGATGCGCGCGCATGGCTGCGGCAGCACGTCCATGGCAGACCCCCTGGAATGCCTTGGGGGAGCTCCCTGGGAGCGCTGGGGGAGCGCCTCGACCTTTCCCCAGGATGGAAGCACGTGGGAGCGTCTGGGAGCGCGACAGGACACGCAGAGTGCACCGCGAGCGCGAGCCGTGAATTGCCCGTTGGGCTTGACCGTTGGCGTCGCCCCCGCTGAAGCGATTGCATTGTCGACGCAGCCGCCTTCGGCGCGAATTTCGCATGGCTGGAGGGGGGGCGCGAGGGGGTGGGTCTGGCACCCCCTCGATACGATGCGCGCGCATGGCTGCGGCAGCACCTGCATGGCGGGGGAGCGCCGGGAAGTACCGCCAGGGAGCGCTGCCGAGCGCTTGCGAATGCATGGAAACGCTTGGGAGCGCCATGGGACCGCTTGGACTGCTTAAACGCGCTTGGGAGCGCCAGGGAGCGCTTGGGAGCACTTGTGGGATCTTGGGAGCGCCTGGGAGCGCATGGGAACGCCTGGGAGCGCTTGGGAGCGTGCTGGGAGCGTGCCGGGAGCGCCTGGGAGCGTGCCGGAGCGCCTGGGAGTGCTTGGGAGCGCGCCGGAGCGCTCGGAAGCGCCAAGGAGCGCTTGGGAGCGCGCAGGGA